TGTAGGGAACCTGATCACAGTGCTGCCCTGATGGAGCAAGGTCACCTCAGTTGTGGCACAACTCTGCTGTCCTGCCTTCACCCCTTCTGGATGTCTTCTGCTTCTGGATGTCTTCTACCTTTCCAAATTGAGCATCAGCTACATATGATCCAAGAGCTTTGGGAAATGACAGCCTTTGGATTTATGGTTTGATCAACTGCATTGTGAATGTGCAAGAGATCACGAAATACAAATTGTGGGTCTGGCTCTACAAGATGCAAGTAGGATTTCCCAGAATACCAGGTGAACATTAAGGCAATGGGAGTTGAGATCATTTAGCAGCTTCCAGCACCAGAACCTGTATTTTCCAAGAATGTTAATTAGGTAAGGGACAATTATGTTCTGTACAGAAGCATTCATCAATGCAAAGGCAGTATTAAGATAAATCTTGACGACACTTTTCCTTTTGCTGGTGCACAAACTCCCTTGGAAGCTCTCAAAAAAAGAATGACTCTTTGTCAAATCGAAAAGAATTAAATAGAAAATTCCCTTTTGGCTCTTAAGAAAACAAAATTTCTGCTGTTTTGATGGATGATGGCAGCTGTAATTAATTCATCAGATAAAAGGCCACGGTGACCCTGTTCCCTGTCTCTCCATCCACTTGTTCTGAAGTGGTCTTGTTTGCAGAGAGAAAATCAGCCTCTCACCTGATGAGCCCACCACACCATGAGGTAGGAGAACGCAGCAATCCAGATGATGGAGCCGAAAAAAGTGATGACAAAGAATTTTTTGGAATCCTGTTAAAATCAAGTTTGAGGGAAAAAAAAAAATACACTGAGAACTTTCAGACAAGTTAAAAATCCCCAATGAAAATTATTTACCTGAAACACTTTGCTGCAATCAATTGCTTTACCATGCTCCCTGCTCTCTCTAATTGCATTTATTTTTTTTGTCAGCTTGATTAGGTGCCCAGTAGTTGCTGGTCTTTTGTGGTTTATTCAATTAAGCCTCTGGATCTATGTTATGCTGCAGCTGGGGCTCCTGCCCCACTCCCTGCAGCATTAACAGCACTTCAAGTCTACAATGGCTCTAGACATGAAAAAATAGACCTGGGGACTCTGGCCGAGAGGAAATCTATAGTTCAGTTAATGAATCCAGCAGCAGAAGGAAGATGGATTCTTACTGGGTTTCTAACGTCGGGCAGAGTGCTCCAGAGAGGGAAGACAATGGGGAAGAGGAAAAGGTAAATTGCTTGTTTTCTCCTCGTTTCTGGCCATTCAAGAGATAAGGGCTCGTCGTTTTCATCATCGTCAGTGCTGTCATCATCACTGTCTTCCTCGCTCGTAGAGCTGCTGTCTTCTGAGGTCTCGCTGTCTGAAGAGGGCTGCAGAGCACAAAAAGAGCCAGGCTGGTTTCCCACTCCCAGGGGGCTGCCTGGCCCTGGCAGAGCCCACATCTGTGACATGGCTGAGGGCAGCCCGAGCCCCAGCTCGCTCTTGTGGGACCAACCCCAGGCAAACCCTCTCTTGGTGCCTCTGTGTTCTGTTAACCAATTTGTGTCTGTCAGCTAGAACCCACTTCTAGATGGAGTTTTGGCACAAATGACACATTTACTGTCTCTTTGAAAACCTTCCCTCATCAGAACAGCTAAATTCTACCAATTGAAAGGAGGTATTTGGGAAACAGAACACAGGTGCTGATGAACACAGGACAGACAGATGCTCCTACCTGCCCTCCGACCTCAGGAGAGCCATCTGAGGAGAAAATCAATTGTATCAATTGGTGTCATTTTGGACCAGATTTGTGTTTGGAAGCAGAAATGCTTCAGCTAACACCTTCATCAATCTCTTTGGTACTCACACAGTCTATGTTTAGTTGCCATAACTACAGCTGCTGTGGGTTGAGTCCTACCCCAAAAGCTCCAGAGAGGGCAGAAGGGAAGTACGTGTGAAGCTGGGTCTGGAGCGAGTGCCTATTGCTGATGGTGCTTGTGTCTGTACCTGTCCATCTTGGGGTGCATCTGCCTTCTGTTTGGCTTTGCTGGGTTCAGAGTCAGTGGCAGGAGTTACCTGAACGGTGCTTGGCGCCTTCTTTTCCTCTTCTGCTGAAAGTGAGATGAAGGAATATGGGTTTCAGTGATGTTAGAGTCAGGTATTTACCTTCCCATGATCAGCAGGGAGGTTTGAGCTTGCTACAAAAGCTTATGGCACTTCGGGATACGCCCAGTCTGATTGCTTAGGTTCTCCATTTGTCCCCTCTCTCTTCTGTGGAGTGTGATAAGTAAGAGCAAGGCAGAATCTGGCCCACATGGTGTAAAATGATACCCTGATGTTTCTATGACCTTCTCTCTTGAAACTGCTGTAAGAGGCAGGGAAATGCTAATTATCTGATCCACAGCTGATGAGTGTTTCTTGGTTTCAGCCCGGATTCAGATCATCTTATTAAAGCCATCCTTAAAAGCCAGAAAGGATGTAAAGCTTGGCTTTCCCTTTTTTTCCAGCAGAGCAGGACATTCTCCAGGGGACTGACTGACATTCTTGGAGGCTTCTGAGAAATGACTGTTGGGTGCTGCCAGACTTTAATCCCTAATCATTTGGTTCGTATTCAAATGCAAATAGGCAAGTGCTGACACACACAAGGAAATGACTTCACTGTCCTCTGTCCTGTTCCTCTGGTAACCAGCGTGGCCAAGGGACCTCCGTGCAGAATAGCATGGAAATGTGGCTGGCAGAGCAGAGGTGGGAGGGAGCCCCTGGTTCTCTGCTCAGTCACTGCAAGGGCCCTTTCCAGACTGCTGTGACTAAGGTTCAGGGATCCCCTCCACGCAGTTGAGCCTGTCAGGTCAGTGGGGTCATGTTACCACGTTAATGGATCTAGGGTGGGGTGTTGGAGGGTAGGTCAACCCTGAGCTGAGAGAGCTGTGTACACCCCAAAAGCATCAATCTATGCACCTACAAAGTCTGTGGAATGTGTCACAGGGTGAAAAGTCATAGTTCATAGAATCATCATAGAATCACAGAATGGTTTGGGTTGGAAGGGACCTTCGAGATCATCTAGTTCCAACCCCCCTGCCATGGGCAGGGACACCTCCCACTGGACCAAATTGCTCAAGCTCCATCCAGCCTGGTCTTGAACACCTCCAGTGACGGAGCATCCACAACTTCCCTGGGCAACCTGTGCCAGTGTCTCCCTACTCTCAAAGTGAAGAGCTTCTTCCTAATTTCTAATCTAAATCTCCTCTCTTCCAGTTTGAAGCCATTACTCCTCATCCTGGCACTGCAAGCCCTTCTAAAAAGCCCAGTCCATGATACACGTTATCAGTAGTGATGGAAAAACAAAAACTATTAAAAGGAAGGATTCACAGCCCCTTAGAACTGATACAGAGAAGGCTAGTGCAGCTTTTCTCTCTGGAGGAATCTTTTACTCTCTTCTGCAAGTGTACCAAATGTCTAAGCTAAACCAAATGTACTTTGTTTTAACCAACACGTCATTTGTAGTGTCCACCAAAGATCGGCAGTGCCCAGCTGCTGCCTGTAGGAGCCCAGTTTCCCCTCGTTCACCCCTTGCAGCACTTTCTGTTTGGATGCTGTCCCCCTAAGCACCCCTAGGCTGGCTCCTGTGGGCATGGCTTTTGTTGCCCACCCTTAGCGTGCATCGATCGATTGCTGCTGCAACTGCTGCAGCTGCCATCTGTGGCCAGTACTAACAGAAACCTCGTGTTAGAGCCGTGGGGATCCTTTGCCAGCCCTGGGGCGTGGCGTGCTGGGAAGGTGAGGGACTGAGAGCAGAACGAGGCAAACAGCACAGGCTCTTCTTGCACTCACCTCCTGGTTTTGATCCGTGTCCAGCTGGTGTCTCGCCTTTGGCCTTGGCTATGTTGCTGAGCATGTCGACCCTGTCTTTGAATTTTGCTGTGGAGAAGAAGGATGTGGTCAGCAGCAGCCGTGGGCTGGGCAGAGCCCCCTTCCCCTGGCCCCCCAGCACACACTCTCACCCCTCTCCTCTTGCGTGGCCTGCAGCTGACACTGACCTGTGACTTGTCTTGCTGGCTGTGGCCCTTGGCTTTGGCTGTTGCTAGCTGGTCAGCCTGGCAGCAGTGCTGGTGGCTAACAGGTTAACCATGAGCCAGCTGTGGGCTCTTGTAGCCAAGAAGGCCAATGGACTCCTGGGGTGCATGAAAAAGAGTGTGGCCAGCAGATCAGGGCAGGTTGTCCTGCCCCTCTGCTCTGCCTTAGTGAGGCCACCTCTGGAGTACTGGGCCGGGTTGGGGGTGCCCGAGGTCAAGAGAGACAAGAAGCTACGGGAGAGTGTCAAGCAGAGGCAACAAAGATGCTGGGGGGCCTGGGGGATCTCTGTGCCCAGGAAAGGCTGAGAGCCCTGGGGCTGTTTAACTGGGGAAGAGAAGACTCAGAGGGGCTCTGATCAATAGCTAAAGAGTGGGGGTCAAGAGGCTGGGGCCAGACTTTTGTCAGTGGTGCCCAGTGAAAGGAAAAGGGCAATGGGCACCAACTGGAACCCAGGAGGTTCCATCTGAACAGGAGGAAAACCTTTGGTGTGAGGGTGGCTGAGCCTGGCTCAGGCTGCCCAGAGAGGTTGTGGAGTCTCCTCTGGAGAGATCCCAAACCCACCTGGGTGTGACCCTGGGCACCCTGCTGTGGGTGAGCTGCTGGAGCAGGGGGTTGGATGAGATGATCTCCAGAGGTGCCTTCCAGCCCCTGCCATGCTGGGATTCTGTGATATTTTAATGCTTAACACTATGGCAATTATGCCAGCAGTGTGACATGTAACCCATACTTTCATATTTCAAAGACAACCTAGAGGGAAGAGGAACCCTTTGCACTTCAGTAATAGAGGGGATAGCTGTACTTCATAGGAAGCAAATGCACGAAGAACAGAGGAGGAGTTTTGATACAGTAGGACTATTGATCGTTTTTCAGGGTAGGTTATGTGCCAGCTAAAAAAGAGACACCTTCCTTCTGCCATGCAGCTGTTGAAGAGGTTTTACTGTGCTGCTTGGAGCCTGGTCACCTGATGGTAAGGGAAAATATCAACCTTCTACGTTCCAGTTATTTGGAAAGTGATTGACCTCTCTAAGTATACATGAGTGTCTCCTCTGCTGGAGTTGATCTAAATTCCTGGTGTCCAGGTTCATTGTGTCCCAGGCTACCCAAGAGGTAGATCATCTTCACCAGCATGGTGTCCAGTACTGTATTTCTGGGACTGCTGAGGACTTCTCTCTGCTCAGCTGAGCTGCTTTATGATTGCTTTACAGTGAACTGTGAAATTGTGTGTCCACAGTTAGGCGCTGTGCTCAAATATTTGAACTTCTACTCTCATGGAAAGTGAACAAGTCATTGGCTCAAAGAAAAGTCTCATTTTGCTCCAGTCCATAGCCTCTGTCAAGCTGCCTACCCAGTGCCTACGCTGAGGGTCACAGGGTTTGCACATGGACTGTAGCCACAAGAAATTGGCCATGCTATGCTTGTGTGGGACTGGAAATTAATTGCCTCTGAAAATTTTATCACACTGATTTAATCTACTGTACTGTTGACTATGCAACCAGAACATGCTGTTGTCATTTGGCTCCAGGGCAGGGCCCTGACACTTCATTCATCACCCTGATACTGAGTTAACAGAAATAACAGCTCCGAGGGCCTGTGCCATGGAGGCAGAGCTGCTATTCTGAGCTGAACCTCCTGAAAATCAGTAGACTGGTATATGCCCAACAACTGGGACTGGCTCAGACATTAAGGCCTCTGGGGACACGTCCTATTCTGATGAGATTCCTGTCATCATCTGACAGGAATATTTCTCCCCAGCCAGGATTTCCACTGAACACTGGAATGGCTGCACAAAGATGAAATTATGAGCTCTTCTGTGAAAGGCTGGCTGGGACTGGAGAACCTGACTCTTCTGTGCTCCTTGGCAATATTGAAGCCTACCAGAGGGCACGTGTAGCCCTTTGCTTTGTTCCCCCACTGCTGATGCTGAGCACAAGCATACCCATCAGTGACCTTTTGCTCCTGGTCTCCTCTAACCACTGGGCGATGCATCTTTCTGTTCAGCTTTTCCCAGAAGCTGTTGCAAAAGCTCCTGTCAGCAGGGTCAGGGCGGTCAGGCTCAGCCTGAGAGGGGATTATATAAATTGAAGCTCCTGGCTTCCTGCCCCACACAGGCTGCAGGCTGTGAGTGCCACCCCAGCACAGCCTGGGAGCATCTCTCTGTCGGGATAAACAGATTAGGTCCAGGCCACTATCCAGCTCTCATGAGATCAGCCTCACTTAAAAAGGTGTTAATTCCTCTGACACACATTCCGTGCAGGATGGGAGATTGGAGGAAGAGCTGGCTGTAAGCTGGCCAGACCTGCAGGTCAGCACGGGGAGGGAGGATATCTGTCAGCTCAGGCCTTGCTGGTGCTGGGGATTAGCTGAGCAGGCAGCGTGCTGGCTGCTCCAGGGGCAGGGCACTGCTGGGGCTCCCCAGCCCCGTGGGCTCTGTCCTCGCTCAGGGGCACAGTCACCTGGGGCTGGCACTGCTGGGGGCTCTGAGAGCCCCTCACCCAGGACATGGCTGTCTCCAGGAGCCTTGAGATGCTCTTCAGGTGACTCCTGTCCTACAGATTGACAGCATCCAGACTGGATTTAGGGTGGCAGCTGAGCTTCTACCTAGAGTTTGGCTCTTATGTTTGTTTAATTCTTTGGCTCTAGTATTCTAGTACTTAATCTAATGGGACTAACTTAGAACATGAACAGCAGGAAGGATTTTTTCCTTTAAAATATGGCATGAACCTGGAGGATGTGGAGATTCCACTGTTTGAAAGTGGAAGTAAAAAACCCTGCATGATTCCTTTTGTCCCTATGTATCATGATTCTCTTAAAACAAATGATTGAGTGCTAATGAAGCAAGGAGAAACTGAAGCTGCCTTCAGCTCTCCAGCCTGTGACACTGCCTGCTGCTCTGTTCTGGTCTAATTGCCAAAATCGTTTGCTTGTTAACTGGGGTGTACTGAGGGTAGGCAGCTCTGGCAGCCTTGCTGCTGGGGTCTTTTTCTTCACTCAAAATTAAAAGCAGGCTTCTGTCTTCTTCCCTGCATGGCTAGAGTTTAAAGAATAATCCAATGGTTAGAGGTTCAGAAATGAGGGGGATCCTCAGGCTTTCCAAAATCCTCACTCCCTTTAACTCCCCAACAGTTCCCTCTGGTGTTTAAGTGGAGGATCTTGAAGACATCTCATGCTCAGCCTCTACACTTTAAAAGAAAGTGGAGAAAAAGACCAAAGCTGGTAGAAATGTCTCATAAAAAAAAAAAAAAGGCATTCTGAAAATGGAAGCTTCTATCAAATATATAATTCAGGATGCAATGTAAATGTTAGAACTTCTAAAGTAAACACTTGGTCTCCTGTAGGCAGAGAAGAAGACTGAAGTAATGATCTCTTCCTAATACGAAAAGAAAAAAACAAATATTCTGAGCTTAATCCACTGTTGAAATGAGAAATTTTGTTTCACATAAGGGGTGTTGTATTAGGAACAGTGAAACAAAGTTTGTATTTCAGACTTCTACTGTATTTCTAAGACCTCTGCCTTTGGAACTTGCTTTTGGAGGGGCAGTGCTGGCAGTTTTTCCACATTTTGCACCCTTGCTGCCTTGAAACCATTTCTGAGCTGCCCAATGACATGCAACTGCACCTGAAAGAAGGAAACCCTATAGAGGACCTAATTTCAGTAGATTAAGTCGGAATGGAATCATAGAATTGTTTTGGTTGGAGAAGATGTTTAAGATCATCAGTCCAACCATTCCCCCAGCACTGTCAGGTCCCCACTAGCCCATGTCCCTCAGCACCACATGGATACACCAGGAACTCTACGAGTGAGGAACTGTTGAGCAGCAGCTGGCAACCTTTTTCTCTTGTAGAGTGTTCTTTACCACAGCCTCTAAATGCTGATGCTACAGGCACTGGCCTGAAGGAACAAGGACCCTTGAGGAAAGATAAATTGCTTTGGGTTCATCCTTTATATTGCAACCTAATGACAAATATGTTTGGTACAGAGAGTGCTGCAACGAGAAGGACTTTGTTGGTGAGTGCTGGGAACGAGGCGCCCAGCTGTCCTGGGAGTACCAAAGGGCACTAATAACACAAAGAGCACTTGCAGGCCTGATAGACTTTTTGGATTCAAATCCTTTTCAGTCACCCTGGGGAAGCCACTTCATCTTTTATTGACCAAGATCCTCAAGACACTTCGGTTTTTAAGTCTATTCATAAATGATTCCTTTTCTCTAGACTCCCCTTTCTTTCAGTATGAGTTTATCAGGGTAAGGAGTGTCTTCTCCAAGATACACTGGACCTAGGACACTGGCTCCTTGATTTCAAGTGCTGGGCTATTGTAATACCAGTAACTTTCTTTATCATTCTCTTTTCTAAGGAGCTGTCTCTGTTCTAGCAGTGTTGAGTGGAACAGGCAAGTACCTGGGGTAGAGGTTTTGCCCTTAATTCGGTGGCATTGTTATAGTAAAGAATCTAAGAAATAACAACCTTTTGGAGAGACTGCAGCCCGTCCTCGCATCGTCCCTGTTGTAGTAGACTTGTTTAAGTACGTGTGGTCACACTCCCATCTAGTGGCTGCCGCCAGAGCCAGTAACTCCAAGTCTACCTGGCTGAAGAGAGGGGATGGTGTCTTTCAGAGGATGGGAAGGTGCTGGAGGGTCTCTAAGGGGCACCAGTCCTCAGGCCTGGCGCTTTGTGATGCTAAAGGCAATGGCACTTCCTCTTGGAGGTTTTTTGTTTTATCTTTGTGCTGCTGATAGCACCTTTAGGGAGCACAGGTGGTGGCAAGGGCAGTAGAGCAAATCCTGCTGAGCCTAGCTCTTGTTAGGCTGCTGTTAGTAATATGACGGGTGGGTGCCTTCACTAAAATCTGTCAGAGCAGACACTTATCTGTCTTGCTGTCTTTAGCTAGCCTCCTTTGTCCCCTCACCAGTTTGTGAAGCTGGGATTTTGATCTGGAGAGTCCTTTTTGTAACCTTTGTGATAGACACGAGAGGTGTTGAGCTGCTTAGCTTCAATCTCTCTTTGAATGGACAACAGATAATCTCTTTAGAACAAGTAGGGCACTGGAGGGGCAGGGCATGTGCTGAGCTAGGAAAGAAAATCTAAAAACCATCTTTTTTTAACATACTTCACTATCTCTTGGGAAACGAACCTCCATGTTGTGTTTGGATTAAACCTGATACAATGGAGCACATTAAAAGTTTGTGTACAATGCCCCTGGGTCTGCCTGGAGATGTGGCTTGCCTGCAGCCTGGGCAGTTTAAGAGGAGGTGTCTTAGTCCTGAGCTGATCAGCCCTTGGTGCTGGGGTGTTGGCCCATTGCCTGCCAAGTGCTGTGGGGACAGTTCACCATGGCAGTGACAACACCACAGTGCTGCAGATGGACTTGTAGAGGTGCTCAGTGTTGGTCTAACTCAAGTCCAGACTGGCTTAACCATCATACCTGGAACATGCTGTGTGGTTTAGATAGCAGCTGGGATTTTAACCACTGCCAAATTACTAATTCTTCGAGGGTTTTAACTTCTTTTTCCTCTTTTTCAGGTTTCTGCCTTGTGAGGGGCTGTGTGCAGGCCCAGGGAGGTGTACAGGTAACAAGCTCTCCCCGTGTTTGTTTTCCCACTATAAATGAGGCTGACTGACAGGTTGAGCAGCTCTTCCTCAAAAACCTAGTGCTGGATGCTGATGTTTCAGGGCTGGGGTGAGGTCTGAACTAAGGAGAGGAAGGGAGATGTGACATGCTGTGAGATGGAGGAAGCCCAAAACTCACGTTCACTGTCCCTGCTGTCAGAGAGACAGGGGAAGATGGGGGACTGCAGTGACACTTGCAGGGACCCCAGCAACAGCAGCTGCTCCACGTGCCCTCATCCCCCCTCAGGCTGCCACCACAGCAGTAACCAGTTTGGCACAGGCAAAGTAGATAAAGCAGGGCCAAAATGTGAGGGGTTTGTCCTTGCTAGCCATGAACTCAGCAGGGGTACATCCCACCCTTCCAGAGCTCCCCACATCTCCTACCTGCATGTCAAGGATGAGCTGGTGATCCCCAGCACCCTGACACACAGAGGCTGCATTCCCAGTTAAGCTGCTCTGCGCTCAGGGCTGCAAACCCAAGTCCCTCAGGTGCAGGACGTTCACTCACCTTCTGTCAGGGGATCCAGGGTGTGGATCATGAGCTGGAAGATGGTGCTGCGCATCTGGGAGTTGTGGAGGGAGGCTGAGCTGCTGCCCCGCTGTAGGGCTGCTGCAGGCTATGGGAAGGTACAATGCAGCAGTCAGCAGCAGTTTCCTCCCCAGAACATCCCCACGTTGGCTCACCTCTGCCCTGGGGATGTATCTATATGGAGGCTGATCCAACCCAAGGAGCAGCCTCAGCGTGGATCTTGAACAGCCTCTGCAATCAAGTTCACAGGGTTCAGGACCCACCATTCACAGCAAGAGGCATGTTCTGGAGACAGGAGGTAAAACCTGTCTTTAGATAAATGGAACAGGCTTGCATGGACTCAGCATCATCACAATGTTGTTATAAATTATCATAAATGAGAGCCTGCAGTCAGAGACTTGTTAATAACTGTGGAGATATATATTCTGCTAAAAGGTAATGCTACACTCATGTCAGGATGCCCTGACTTGAACCTGAAAGTTCTGGTTCTCTGTTCTTATAGTCGACACCAGAGTCCTAATGAGCTCTTTGCTGAATGTTAATTAGTACAGATAGTTAAGTGCAAAGGGGAACAAGCTGCATGCACACGAGGAAGCCAATGTTATGTTATCTATGTAGGAAGCCACCACATCCAACAGACCTCTCTGTGTGACAGCTGCCCAGCAATGGGGAAGACAAAGGGGCAGCAGCTTGACCAGCAGCAGAGGAATGAGCTCTCCAGTGTTTGCTGTGGGGAAGGACAGACCCTACCAACCTCTGCTCTAGGGGCCCAGGAGGAAAACTGCCCATGAAACCAGGTAAGAAAAGTGCCCAGTATAGCTGGGTCTTTGTGCAAAGCAGACCCTGTTTCTTGACATGGAAGCTGACAACTTTATTCACGACCTGCTCTGGAGAGGGGTTCAAAACACAACAGCTTCAGATCCCTCTAAAGCTCCTTGGACCTACCTGGAGCCTCTTCCCGTCCGCCGCCGCCTTTGCTCCGTCCTCTGCGACTGCCCCACTGCTCTTCTGCATGCAAGCAAGAACAGAAGCCACTGAACACCACCACTGCTTCTCCTGCTTTTGCAGGATCTAAGGACAGCTCTCAGGTCCTGTCTGCGAGAAGGTGGTACAGCCAATGCAAATGACTCTGCATGGCTGCTACTGGAGGAGCTGAAGCCGTGTGCTTTTCTTAAAACCATGTGGTTTTGACCAAGAGAAACAGGATTCTACCCCCAACTCCTCAGTGAGGATGCAGGTACCCAGAGATGGACTCAGACGGCCTCTGCCATCTGGTTGCTGTAGACACACACACAGGCAGGCCCAAATTTCATCCCCAAATATTTGTAACCCTACTCATTTTCCAGCAGAGGCAGAGTGAAGGTGCAAAGGGGTATTTCTTTTCCCAGTGATCAGTGTTATTTCCACACAGGTAATTCATTTATCCCAAGGCTTAGCCCCAGCATCTGTCTGTTATGCTGCCATATGCTAGTGAGAGTTCTCTCAACTTAAAGTGCAGGTTTTTTCCCTTCAATCTGAAGGGCTGGATTTAATTTGTCATGATGTCCACAGGGAGGTATGTGTATAGCTCCAGCATCCTGCACAGGTATCCCCCTGGAATGTAAGCACAGGAGCTTCCAGGGCTCTCAGCCACAAGCACAGGTGGAAAGACAGACCAGGAGGAGGGAAGAAAAGAACTTTCTCAATTTTGCACCACTTCAAGTATCCTCATCCCTCTTTCTTTCCTTAAATCATGTGGAGTGCTGAGATCACAAAGGGCAAAGTGTGCCTAAGTGCTAGTGGCACATATCTGACTAGTAAAGCATCCCCATGCCAGAGGACAGTTTGAGAACCAGTGGTCTCTGCTCAACAGATGGCAGCAGGAGACCTGGGGAGGGGCAGAGGAAAAAGAAATGGACAGGCACACTCAAGAAGACAAAGCCCCAAGTGTTCTAAAGACCACGTCCTGGCCAGATCTGCAGTCTGAAAAGGTAATTGGTTCTGGGGACACCATCAGATACTGTCTTTGTGTAAGCAGTCAACTCTTCCTTCAAAGAACAATGAGGGAAGGGTCCTGGTCTCAAATCTGGAGCGTTTAGTTGCAGGCACAAGCCCCCCTGTCTGTGCAGCAGCAGCAGCACACAGGAGCTGCTCTGAGCACACCCCGCTCCGCTCCGTGCATGGCAACAGGATTTGGGCATTTCCATCCTGTGGCCAGATTCTGACTGGGAGAGGTGGCACTGACTGGTTGCTAGAGGCTGCCAGATCCCCTTCCGTGTGGCAGACTGGGTAACCAGTGACACCACCCGTGTCCCAGCAACACAGCTAGCTTCAGAAAACTTCAGAAAGGGAAAAGAGAACTTCCTCCCACATCTCTCATCTGTGAGAGTCTTGGACAGTGCCTCTTACCCTTTTTTACACAGAATTATCCAGTCGTGTTCCCGGACTAAGTTCCTGCAAGTGGCTTTTTTTTTACTGGGTAACCAGTGACACCACCCGTGTCCCAGCAACACAGCTAGCTTCAGAAAACTTCAGAAAGGGAAAAGAGAACTTCCTCCCACATCTCTCATCTGTGAGAGTCTTGGACAGTGCCTCTTACCCTTTTTTCCCCTGTTGAACACAGAATTATCCAGTCGTGTTCCCAGACTAAGTTCCTGCAAGTGACTTTTTTTTTTGTTTGTTTTTTTTTAAACCTCTCCACACTAACTGCATAAGGAAAATCCCACATGTGTCTTTGGAAGTAGATAAGCAACCACAACTCACACTGCAGAATCACAGAATCAGTAAGGTTGGAAAGACCTCTAAGATCATCAAGTCCATCCATCAACCCAACACTACCATGAGCAGTAAACTATGTCCCCAGGTGCCATGTCTACACATTTCCTGAACCCTTCCAGGGATGGGGACTCCACCACCTCCCTGGGCAGCCTGGGCCAGTGCCTCACCACTCTGGCAGGAAAAAAAAGTCCTTCCTAATATCCAGTGGAAACCTCCCCAGGTGCAACTTCAGCCCATTGCCTCTCATCCTATCACTGGTTACTTAGGAGAAGAAACCAACCCCCAACTCACTCCAACCTCCTGTCATGGAGTTGTAGAGAGCAGTAAGGTCTCTGCTCAGCCTCCTTTTCTCCAGACTAAACACACCCAGGTCCCTCAGCTCCTCACAAGCCATGTTCCCCCAGACCCCTCACCAGCTTTGTTGCCCTTCTCTGGACCTGCTCCAGCCCCTCAGTGTCTTTCTTATCCTGTAGTGCCCAAAACTGACCCCAGTGCCCAAGCTGTGGCCTCCTCAGTGCTGAGTCCAGGGGCACAATCAGTTCCCTGCTCCTGCTGTACTCACTAGTTTTGATCCAGACCAGGCTGCTGGTGGCCTTCTTGGCCACCCAGGTACACACTGGCTCCTGTTCAGCCAGCTGTCCACCAGCACCCCCAGGGCCTTTTCCAGGCACTCCTCCCCAAGCCTGGAGCATTGCCTGGGTTTAACCCCTTTAGTCATTACAAGGGTAGAACTCTCTTTTAGCAGCATTCCCTAATTTCTTAGAATCTCTACTATCTAAATTGCATTTCCCTCATTTTATATCCATAAGTATTGACCACTACCTGTTTGAAAATGCACTTTGTGAAGGAGATGCAGCTTTTCTTTGTGGTTTATGCTAGAACAAATTATTTCCAGCTCACCCTCTGAACAATAGGGACACCAACCTTCCTCATGTGCTCTGCTGATGCTGCCTGCACAGCATTTAGCTTCTTGTTCAGCTCCTGCTTCACCCATTGTTCCAGGTGCACGTTCTGTTTCATAGCGAATACGTATGTGGCATAGGCAGTCAGTAAAAGGAGACTTTCCCACCAATCAATGACACTGTCTAGGAAAAACAGGATGAGCATCAGTAAGTCTACAATGTAGAATGAGATGTCTCTAAATAAGGGCCACCATGTCAGGTGGAGTATCTCCCTGGAGAAGAGGGCACAGGTGCCAATGACAAAGAGGATATTAAACACCGCTGAGCCCACAATGGTACCGATGCCCACATTGCTGTGTGAGATGAAGACACCTATGAGGGAGGTGAAGAGTTCTGGTGCTGATCCACCCGCTGCCATGAAGGTGGCTCCAGCCACATCTTCAGAGATCTGCAACTTCTCTGTGATCACTCCCAAAGCAGGGACAAAATACTCATCACACACTATGGCCAAGGCCACAAATACATATATCATGCCAAAGATGTGAAGTACAACCCACCCTTGCCTGCGTTCTTCCACACTGAATAGGTCCTGGGGGTATTCTCCTTTGGACTCAGGTGGTGGCTTTTCCCCTGGGTAGCTTTCACTGTCGTTGCCTCGCCGTGGTGTTGTGTCCACCGGTGTCGTGACGGGCGCGGTTGGCTCGGGGTCCACGTAGACACAGTGCTTTATTTTGGGTGCTGCTGTGGCATTGCCTGTGAGGGCAGTCTTGTTGCTGGAGAGGTCCCTGGAGGTCGCCTTGATGGGGTCTGCGGGTTGGGGTGCTGTGTGTGGCGCTGGAAGGGCAGAGGGGCTGAACTGGAGCTGATAGACAGAGAGGACCAACACTACGGCGAGCAAGAAGAAGATTCGGCTCCGTTGTAGCCGCCTTCTCCGTGGCAAATGCATTTCCTAAAGGTTGAAGAATCAGAGCCGTGTCCAGAAGCCTGGCTGATCAGCAGCTTGCACTTTTATCCACCATCAGAGCTTCTAGGTGATCTCAAGCATCAGGAGTGGAACCGGAGGACACGAAGCGTAGGATCCTGCAAAAGAAAACCAGGTGTGAAAAAGAAAGTACTGCAACTTGCCACCACCTGGGTAACATTACTTCACTGACTGCCTTTCTATTTTTCAATAAAAAGAAATGGACTTAAACGAGTAAAGGCAGATCTGGATTCAGGTTTCATACTTTTTTTTTTTGCCTTAATGCCTGTAGGCTATGCTGATTAACAATCAATAGAGGGGGGCTGGCCAAGACAGTCCAATCTGAGCTGAATTGTGACTCCACCTAGTGCCCACACCCAGGAGCTATTAAGACTTGTGTTTAGTTTTACTAGAGTCTGGTTGTTATTTGGTAATACTAACAATAGGGTCAGTGTCCTGCAGGAGGTAAGGATGTGGTTTCTGTCAAGGAACCTACTTTAAATTGCTGGAGAAGATGATGCTCTGAAGAGGAGACCATGCTGTTAAAACCTCATGCCTAAGAGACCAGTAATTCACCTGAGTAACCTCAACAGGGGGATGAGAAGTGCTTGATAGTTCCCAGCTATGCTGCTCGTGGCTCTCCAGCCTCACACTGCCCCAGACTCCCAACCAAGCAATGGTGAGATTTTTCCTTTCAGTTTGAGAAGAGCACGAGGAAGATGAGGTTCTAGTAAAACTGGGGGTGCTGAGCATCCATTTGTTTCTATGGCTACAGCTTTCTAAGCCCTTCTGTAGAAATCAGAACAGGCAAAGTGAAATTGTAATCATACCTTTTATTAGGGACTCGTTAGCATATCTTGCATAATTATTTGAACAGCATTGAGAGAGAAATTTTAAATGGCAGAGTGACAGAACCTGCCATGGTGACAGTGTGGAGATAGCAATTTGGGGCTGGGCAGAATTTACCCTTCAGCACTGCTTGCATGTTTTACCTTAGAATATCACTCTTTGTGGATGACTTTTTTTTTCTCCCTCCAAGTGAGAATGTTACGTTATTCTTGAGCTGGATGTGAATCACAATTTTGTAAGCCATTCTCAGAGAAGCTCTTCATGCAAGTTAGCACACACTCACCCTCTTGCATAACACCCAGTGAAGTAATCGGCCTAAATTTCTTGCAAGATAGGCATTATTGCCTTCTTTAAAGTAGCTGGGAGGATCACTAAGGCAACAGTAATAGAGGAGTGGGAGTACCTAGATAGATAGATGATACAAGCTTTACTTTTCCTATGTAAAAAGAACATAAACATGCATATGGCAGAACTGCATAATATGTATAGCAAGTTGCACATTATGAGAAAATAACCCTTCCTAACAAAGAGAAGAGAGTGAAAAGAATGACACAAAGAGAACAGAAGACATATGCACACACACACCTATTTAAACACTGTTTTTCCTTCTCCTCTGCAAATGGAGCTGCTTAGAAGACCTTTTGCAAGCAGAAGTATATCCAAAGCTCGGATCAATGATAAGAGCTCTCCAGCCTTTCACAACACCTGCCTGCCAGCCTGTTTCCCCAGTTTTTTTAAGTTTAGCAGTTCTCTTACAGGTCAACTCCTGATCAGCTCCTTTCTCACTGGTTGGACTGTGTTGGTCATAAGATGTGAAGCAATCAGCTGAAACTCCACAACTTACCTTCCAAAGATGCTGTCCAAGAGGAAGAGGAGTACCAAGGGTTGAGCACGGTGCTGGAAGCTTTTTTGATACTTAACAGCCAGATAGAAGATGCTGTTGCAGAGAGAGGCAGATGAGAATGATCCCATTTTCACAATGCCTCTGCTGGCAGAGTTCTAATACAAGAGAGGGTCAAATGGGAAGGACATATTACTGGAGGAATAGCCAATCCAGTTTAATATCTGCAGTCCCTAAGAAGATTAAATAGTATTGTATAGATTTGGGTCTATCTCTGAAGCCAATATCTTTGTCTGCTGCCACTGGTTATTCTCAGTATGAGGGCAGGTGATTATCTCCATTACAAACTACCAGCTGAAAGCACCAGTGGCAGCCATGGAGAGAGCAGCAGCAGTAGATCACACCGCTCCTCTGCACGGAGCAGTGGTCACTTAAGCCACCTTGCATGTGGCTTCATTCTGAAGCACCTCATCTGGCTGACATGCCACCCAAGCAGCTCTGCTGGCCTTTGCCACAATACAAGTATACCCTGCAGTGCCAAAGGGAGGTTTAAAACTCACTGTCTCCTGGAAAAATCCCTCAGCTCCTGCACCGTGATCATGGAGGCAGAGGGATGACACAGGGCCCTCTCTGCAGGGGGACCCTCACTGGCAGAGCATCCTGAGGATGGAATCAGCAGCTCTGCCATGTTGAGAGGCACTGATCTAGAGCAGCTCCACGGAGGAAGAAATAAGAACATTCCTGGCCAAAGATTTAACGGTCATAAATATCCGATCAGCAGATTTCTCCCTGGAAGTGTTCAAGGCCAGTTCAGGCTTTGAGGAACCTGGTCTAGTGAGAGGTGTCCCTGCCCATGGCAGAGGGGCTGGAACCAGATGATGTTTAAGGTCCCTTCCAGCCCAAAGCATTCTATGATTCTATGAAAGTGATAATTTGATACATTTAAAGCAAGCTTGTCTGAATGGACAGTTTTGCAGGGGTACATCCAAGCTTTGCAATGGAGTTTATTGAAACCCCTCTTTACTTCCCTGCATACAGAACTGGCGGAAGGAGGTCCACTAGCCAGCTGGGATGCTTTTCCATGGACTTCTCTCTATACATAGCAGTCCTTTATAGAACGGAATCATAGAATACTGTGTGTTTCAAGGGACCCTTCAAAGTCATTGAGACCAACACCCTGCTGCAGGGAGCAGGGACACCTGCAGCTAGAGCAGGTTGCTCAGAGCCCCGGCCAACCTCACCTGGGATGGTTCCAGGGATGGGGCAGCGACCACCTCTCTGGGCAGCCTGGGACAGGGGCTCACCACCCTCAGCATAAGAAATGTCTTCCCTCTCTTCAGTCTCAATCACTCTCTTTTAGTGTAAAACCATCACCCTTTGTCCCATCACAAGGCCCTGCTAAACAAAATCAGTCCCCAGCTTTCTGACAGGCCCCTTGCCGCACTGAAACTCTTCCACAGCACTGGCCCCTAACCGAACCGCTTTCCCTCGCGTCTGCGGCACTAGACTCCCGTTTTCGCCGCCGAAGCCCCATTTCGGGCCGC